CTGTTAAATACACATTCCTACCTAGTAATGCACCTTAACTTTATGCACACTATCTAAACTCTCCAGGCCTCCAACTTTACTATTCCTTAGCTGAGAGAAGCAGCAGGGTAACTTAAAAAGCAGGCTATAACATACCTACTGATTTTGTTATCAGGCCTCCGCATCCCATCCCTGTGAGTGCAAGGAATGGAAGACCAGGCCTATTGGTTTCATTTTTGTTAAATTAGGCTTGTCTTGTAGCTAAGTAGTTCTGAGTTTAGAGTTTTCAGCCTTATTTTACTAGACTCTATTATGTAAGGTCATAGTCGTGTATTCAATTTTTTTGATAGTCTCACAATATCAGTCCATGGGCAAGATTATTGGCTAGTGCAAATTGGTGGTATGCGAATTTATACCAGCTGAGGAACTTGCCCCTTTCTTTGTGGAATCTAAGGGTACGTCTACACTGCAATAAAAAGCCCTTGGCACCAAGTCTCAGAGTCCAGGTCAATTGACTCGGGCTTGCAGGGCTTGGCCTGCTGGGCTGAAAATTGCAGTGTAGGTGCTCAAGCTCAGACTAGCGTCCAGGCTCTGACACCCCCCCCCCCCCAACTGAGTCCAAACATCTACACTGCAAATTTTAGTCCAGCCCGAGTCAGCTGACCTGGCCCAGTCACGGCCATGCTGCGGGTCTTTCTTGCAACGTAGATGTATCCTAACTAAAGGATTTTTTTTTTTAAAAGAGTCAGGTTTCCTGGGAATTCTTCCATCCCTCTGTCCATGCTCAGATGTATATGTCAATATACTCATCCCTGCTACTTCCACAATTCTGAAGTGACCCAAAGCTACATGAGTTTGTGATTTGCTTTGGGGTATCTGACGGACTGAACTACAATTCCCTTAATGATGTGATTGAACTGAAAAAAGTAAATATGTTAAGAGAGAGAATTAAAAATGAGGTGATTAACTCTAGTAATTTGATAAGTTTATGAGCTAAGAGAGAAAAAATTCAAGAGGGTAAGGGAAACTGCTAAACCTGTTAGAAGTAGAACATGAGTCTGCTGAAGGTGTCTGACTTTGAAGACAGCTAAAAGTACTTAAGGGTGAACTTCTGCCCCTGACTAGCTGTCCAGCCCAAGCCCTATACAGCACTTAAGTCTCCCTTAAACCCTCCAACTAGAGCTTAAGTGGAACTGAATCAGTGCATAGGCCTTGTGCTGCCCTCTGCATAGGGGTGAATTGCAGCAGAGAAAACCTAAGAACTGTTCTGTAGCAAAACTTGCACCTGAGAGACACTTGAGAAGTCTGGAAATCAGTTCTCTCTCAGAAAAGGCCACTCTATTTCCAATATCAGCTCTTAAAAACTTCAGCTGTTTGAGTGTATTTCTTCTTTAAGAAGGCTGTTGTGATGGTCCTCAAGAAGGCTGTACACATTGGGCGTACCATTGTATTAAAATACTGTGTTCTTATTTGATGGCTGAGAACAAGCTGAGTCAATTTTCTCCAAAACAAGTTGGTAGTAATTAGGGTAGTGTCCCCCAAAATGTGCTTTGTACTCTTCTAAGAGGACCCAAAGTACCAGCTGGGGGACTGCAAATTGTCTTAAGCTTTCCTGTGGTTTAAAAATGGAGTCTTTGATGTTAGGGTGTGAGGAAAGCTTTCAGAATGTGAAATGAACATAACCAAAGCAGAGGTGTCAGCCTGAGTTTGCAGAGAGCCTGAAACAATAGCTCTAAAGTGTGTATTGCCCCATTCATTTGAATGGGTGCTAAGTCAGATGCTAGCAATGATACTTTAAAAGTCAACATTATAAATTATTTCATTGCTGATCAAAGCACATAAGAAAGGAGAGGAAGATCTATGCCACTATTTCATCAGAAGGGGGTGTATGGAGGACTAACTGGAGGTGTGTGGCAGTTTTGTACATTAAGAGGTGTAGCCTTTAACAACACATGGAAAGTGTATGTGTGTTGGCAGGGAGAGCACAACTGATTTCATTTTTCTGAAAGAGGATCAGCTTTCAAAAGTTTGGGAAATACTGAATTGGAGTATGAAACATATCAGTGAGGGTTTATTTTATTTTAATGCATTATTTATTTATAGGCATTCCTCCAGCATTCATCACTGTAGTAACTCTTTATAGATTAGTGCAACCATGTTTCTTTTACCAGGGGATTTGTTCATTGTGTCTCAGCAGACTGGAACTTTTGAGAACTATTTAAGAGTTGCGGAACTTCACCATTACTAATAAATCTTACCAGAAGCTTTGAAAATGGATGCTATTTAAACTGCAACTTTTAAAAGAATAAACTCTACCATTGTTTCCCTATTCTATGCACATGCCTTGGGTCTGATTCCCAAGGGTAAGCCTGTTGGATTCTCGCTTGATAGAAACAGTAAAGGCTGTGTTATGCAGCCTAACAGAAAATGTATACATGGTAAACAAGCTTGAAAACAAGAACTGCCTAATGTGTAGTAATATTTCACACAAGCCCAGGCCACATTACTAATACTATTAAGGAGAATGATTTTATGACAATTTGGGGTAATATTGCTGAATCATGAGAGCCCATCTCTTCATACTGAAAGTACTGCAACTGTGCAGAATGATAGAAATTTAAATTAGCGGGCTTTTGATATTGATACAGTCAAATGGCAGCTGTGTAAAGGGGAACGTGGGTTTGGAATAAACCCCAGGGGAAAAGAGTTAGTGGTTAGAAGGCAGATGAAGTGCCCAAAAGGAGCAGAATAAATGAATGTATTCCATGGGTATTGCCTCCATATGTGTGGAGACAACATCCATTTCATTTTCATTAAGTCTTGGAACATGGGGGAAGTTCCAGAACACTGGAAGAAAGCTGATGTTGTGCCAATATTAAAAAAGGGTAGACAGGATGATTCAGGTAATCATAGGCTTGTCAGCCTGACATTGATCCTGGGCAAGATAATGGAGCGGCTGATACAGGACTCGATTAATAAAGAATTAAGGGAGGGTAATATAATTAATGCCAATCAAAATGGGTTTATGGAAAATAAATCCTGTCAAACTAACTTGATATCTTTTTTTTTTTGGTAGATTATAAATTTGGATGATAAAGATGATAGTGTTGATGTAATATATTTAGACTTCTGGTAACACATGACATTTTGATTAAAAAAATAAAAAGATATAAAATTAACATGGCATACATTCAATAGTTCTAAAGCTGGCTAACTGATAGTTCTCAAAATGTAATCATAAATGGGCAATCATCATTGAGTGGGTATGTTTCTATTAAGGTCCTGCAGAGATTGGTTCTTGGGCCTACCCTGTTTAACATTTTTATCAATGACCTGGAAGAAAACATAAAATCATCACTGATAAAGTTTGCAGATGACACAAAAATTGGGGGAATTGGTAAATAATGAACAGGACAAGTCACTGATATAGAGCAATCTGGTTCACTTGGTAAACAGGGCGCAAGCAAACAATATGTGTTTTAATACAGCTAAATATAAATGTGTACATCTAGGAACAAAGAATGTAGGCCATACTTATACACTGGGGGACTCTATCCTGGGAAGCAGTGACTCTGAAAAAGATTTAGGGATTGTGGTGGATAATCAGCTGAACATGAGCTCCAGTGTGATGATGTGGCCAAAAGGGCTAATGCAATTCTTGGATGTGTAAACAGGGGAATCTTAAGTAGGGGTAGAGAGGTTATTTCACCTCTGTATTTGGAACTGGTGTGATGGGTGCTGAAATACTGTGTCCATTCTGGTGTCAATAATTCAAGAAGATTGTTGATAAATTGGAGAGGGTTCAGAGAAGAGCCACGAGAATGATTAAAGGATTAGAGAAAAATGCCTTATAGTGCTAGGCTCCAGGAGCTCAATCTATTGAGTTTAACAAACAGAAAGTTAATGGGTGACTTAATTACAGTCTATAAATACCTACATGGGGAACAAATATTTAATAATGGGCTCATCAGTCTAGCAGAGAAAGGTATAACATGACCCAGTAGCTGGAAGTTGAAGCTAGATTATTTCAGACTGGAAATAAGGCATACATTTTTAACAGTGAAGGTAATTAACCATTGGAATAATTTACCAAGGGCTGTGGTGGATTCTCCATCACTGAAAATTGTTATATCATAATTGGATGTTTTTCTAAACGATATCCACTAGGCCTTATTTTGGGGGTAGTCCCACGGTGTATGTCATATAGGAGGCAAGATGATTACAGTGGTCCCATCTGGTCTTGGAATCTATGAATATATATTGCTGGACTTGTGTCAAGATTACTTGCACAGCACATCTTGTTTTCTGTGTTTGTCTGCTTACAGACCTAAAGGAGTCTTTATGCAACAGCTAATCTAGAATACTGGGTTGATGCAAAGGCCCAGATTTCAGGGAGGTCTCTAGTTCGACATATGTTGCTTGCTGGGCTGATGTCAAGGCACAGTTCTCCGTACAACTGGTATAGCAACATTAACACACTGGGCTGATGTTAAGGTTACTTGTCACATGTCAAGGGGCAGGCCTCGGTGATACCAGTGGCTCGGTACTTTTAGCATGGGCTGGTGTGAAATTGCTGGCCTTCTGGTTACTGGCTCAGAAGAGTGAAATCTGTGTGTGCAAGAGAGGGAGTTTATGGCAACTGGCCTGTTACCATGAAGCTTACTTCCAGAAGAGCCCAAGATAACCACAAACCTCAGAGCAAAATGCAAATGCTCTTCTTTGACCTCTCAATTCCTCATTAGCCTGTCCAAAAGTACATATCTCTACAGTATGGAGAGGGAAGGAGAGAGAGAGAGAGAAACAGAGATTTTCATGAACCTCAATAAATTTGTACGGTCCTGGGCATGGTAAAAAAAAAAAAAAACCCTGGAAAGTCTTAATATTCGTTCATGCATGTAATAGGGTAGAAAATCATCAGTGTGAGTTGTTTGAATAATCTGTTATTGAGGCAAATCACTGGCCTATCTTTGTGTTTGCTGTGGTATTTGTCAGGCTCTTCACATTTTGGTTTTGTTTTGCAGCAAGCTAGAAAACCTTATGATGTACGAGATGTTATTGAACAGTATTCTCAGGGTCATCTCAACTTGATGGTACGAATCAAAGAGTTGCAAAGAAGGTATGGCATAAAGTTCACTATCCTAAATGGTAAATGTCTGTGAAGAGGATTCTAATAAGCAGTGCAGTCGGGTGGGGAGGAGAAGATTTAAAGGATTGTAAATGGCACTTAGGACTGCACAATTAGAGAAATACTGTGTGATGTAATTCACAGTAAAGGTTTCTATTTTGAGAATTAAAAAAAAACTTAAATCATTAAGAACCATTGATCAGAACCTGGTTATTTGTATTGCTTTAGTGGGTACAGACCCCAACTATAGACCAGTATCCCCACTGTGCTAGGCACTATACAAACAGAATAAAAAGACAGTGCCTGCCCCAAGGATCTTATCATCTAAGAAAAGATACTACAGATGGATACAGCAAAGCAAGCATCAGGAAACTGAGACAATACTGATCACCATGAAAAGCAATGGTCATTGCTAGAATCTATAAAATAGCTAAAGCACTAAGACACCCATATAGGGCGGATATTTTCTTAACTACCAAGGCCAACTTTGGATCAAATGATGTTGTTCATTTGTACTGCAAAGCAGAATTACTTGAACATTGCAACCTATTATTTGGAGAAGAGGTTTTTCAACCAAAGCAAGTGAATATTCTGTTGTTTAAATCTGAGGACGAGTTATCTTCTGTTATGAACAATATCATTTCTTTCTGTTTACAGGTTGGACCAATCTATAGGGAAGCCATCTCTTTTTATTTCTGTCTCAGGTGAGATAATAAATTTTAATTCCTGTAATCAGTGACATGTTTGAATTAAAAAATGTCTGCTCCATAAGTATATGACTAAGAACCACAAGAATTTGTAAGGTGCTCAGGTACTATGGTGATGTGTGATATATCTTTCTTTATTTTACACATGTGGGAGCTGAAGCATAGAAAGGTTTAATGGACTTGCCCAAGGCAGCACCATAAATCAGAAGTCCTGACTCCTCGCCCCCTGCTTTAATCATTATACTACACTAAATAACAGGCTACAATTAAACCTCAAAATGTAAGAGAGATGTCTGGAATAAAGTTCATTAGAACATATTTTTGTGAAAATATCAATGAAAAATACTTTTCATTACTTATCAAAAATTCAAAAATTGTCAGCGAGTTCCAGCCTGCAGTTAGGCACCTGAATTCATATTTAGCCTCTAGCACCTCTGAAAACTGTGTGATTTTTATGTAGTCACCTGATATTTGGTATCCAGTTTTTGAAAATGTTGCCTCAATTACTTCAGCCTTAAAATGGGGATTATATTCAGAGGGGTGTTATGGAGCTGAAATCAACAATATTCATATAGAGCTTTGAATGGAAATCATAATAGAAGTGCAAAGTATTAACAGTATTTATTTGTTTTGAGATGTGGTTGCACATAGATAGATATCATCTGATTGGCTGCTGAGAGCTATTTGTTAATGTCATTTCCAGTTTTAAATTTCTAAAAAAAATTCAGATAAAACATCATCCATGAACATTATCAAAGTGGCTGTAGAGCTTTACATTGTGCCAGGTTGTTTTTTCAACTGGAATTAGAAACATAAACTAAATTAGGAACCGTTTAATTCTCTCGGTTTAAAGCATAAAATGAAGGTTGAAAGTGCTCTAGACTAAAGAGCTATTAAAAACCTTGGCTTGGGCTAATGCTATAAAAGAAACAAAAGCTAGTTTTATGAAATAAAACTAATCATCCTAGCAAAGGTGTTCAATTATTCTGCACTGGTGGGCTAGTTAAACACACCGTGTTGTGGCTTAATGCTATATTGTTATAACACTGAGTATTCATTTGAAAATATGCCTTACTCCACAGAAAAAAGCAAAGACCGAGGGACTAACACGATTGGTGCAAGGCTGAACAGAGTGGAAGACAAGGTAGGCCTGAGTTAGTAGTGGTAGTGGATGGAAATGGTCCATTACTGAACAGTGCTGTGTTTCATAGTATTCAGGAAAAACATATGGCTTAAAATGGAGTAACATACCTGGCTTTTCCAAGTGATGGAAAATAATTTTAACACTGAAAGTTGCATTTTCTTCATGATCGTTTTAACAGCACAGATGAAGAAATCAGACTTTTTAATTGATCTCAGTCTCTTTTGTTACTCACTTCGTTTTTGATTTTTAATGGTATGTATTACACATGTCTCAATGCTCTACTTCCTTCCTTCCTCCATGATAGATAAAAGGCTCTGTTCCTTTAATACTCTGGTATATTACAGTCCCAAGATTTCTCTTTGATCATTGATTGCTCTGTTGTTTATATAACTCCACCTACTATTCCTTAGAGAGAGAGGGAGCAAATGTTGTTCTGTCCTGGTTTTCATTCTTTATGACAAATGGAGTTTTTCCTTTCAAGTGACATCAAGCTAGGGGAGAAAAAGCTGTTCTATAATCACAAATTAACAGTTAAGTGCTTTGCTGCAGCCCTTTATTTCAATGCTAGCTGCACATGATGAGCTAGACTGAAAGGTAGAGATTTATGTCAAATTCAGAAATATAGAATTGCCTATGTTTGTTTTAAGGATAGACAGAGAGTTAAAAGAATTATTGATTGGAGTCTTCATCCATCTTTCATAGTAAATCTTTTTTAAGGTTTGCAAGGGTTCTTTTAATTTATGATCATTTTCACTTACTTGTTCAGTTTGCTGGTTTGGTTAAGACTGGAAGTACAATTTGTGAAGTATCTTGAGAAAAGAAGCTCTCATGATACTTCTAGCACAACTGGGAACAAGATAGACTAATTATCTCATGAGAGAACTTAGTTTTGCTTTAATTTCCAGTCCACTTTTGCAGACCAACGAGGTTTGGTCAAGGCATCCAAACTTCCAGGTTTCTTAGGCAACACCTAATCTGTGGAGATTCACCAATGACTTGTTTGTTTCTCACATAGTTCTCCATCATGCACCACATACATGTAAATGATCATGCTCAGAGATTTACTTCTACATAGTGTTAGTATGTGGTGTTTTAAAGAAAATATATAGATTGAAGAGTTAGGGGTCGGATTCAGAGATGATGCATGAAGAGGTGCGTACTAAGCAATGGTAAGGGAGTGTAAGGTTGCATAGGCACCCAAACAGGTTTTGCACATTTAGGTGCTGTGCAGTGCTCATTCAAGGGGCTGTACTTGGAAATTATACACACAAATGGAGCTCATTTCTCAAAAAGCTGCCATTCTACTTACCGTATGGTGTATCCTTGAGGCAGATTAAAAATGTTGAACGTGACAAATGTTGAACGTTTCTCACCTTGGCAACTAGCTTTTGACCAAAAGATAAAGTAGATTCTGTGTGCTGTTGTTTGGAAATGTACAATAAAAGGATTTTGAGTTGTAGCTGGTTCAGGGAACAGAAATCCACTTTCTAAATCAGTGATACTCAGACTGAGGCTCGCAAGCCACAAGTGACTCTTTAAAATGTCCCCTGCAGCTCTTTGCAGCACATGATATTAAAACACTGTGTGATTTAATTATTAACCAATCTAAGTTAATCAATCTGGATGCTTTTACTATGTTATTAACTAATTAAGTTACTAACTTGCACTAAGTTATTAACCAATAGAAACCTAAATATATTGGTCTTATGTTACAGTTGGAATAAAATCTTCAAAAGCGCCTAAATGACATAGAAGACTAAAAGAACAGGAGTACTTGTGGCACCTTAGAGACTAACAAATTTATTAGAGCATAAGCTTTCGTGGGCTACAACCCACTTCTTCGGATGCATATAGAGTGAAACATTGAGGAGATATATATACACACATACAGAGAGCATGAACAGGTGGGAGTTGTCTTACCAACTCTGAGAGGCCAATTAAGTAAGAGAAAAAAAACTTTTGAAGTGATAATCAAGATAGCCCAGTACAGACAGTTTGATAAGAAGCAAGTGTGAGAGTACTTACAAGGGGAGATAGATTCAATGTTTGTAATGGCTCAGCCATTCCCAGTCCCTATTTAACCCTGAGTTGATTGTGTCTAGTTTGCATATCAATTCCAGCTCAGCAGTCTCTCGTTGGAGTCTGTTTTTGAAGTTTTTCTGTTTTAAGATAGCCACCCGCAGGTCTGTCATAGAATGGCCAGACAGGTTAAAGTGTTCTCCCACTGGTTTTTGAGTATTATGATTCCTGATGTCAGATTTGTGTCCATTAATTCTTTTGCGTAGAGACTGTCCGGTTTGGCCAATGTACATGGCAGAGGGGCATTGCTGGCACATGATGGCATATATCACATTGGTAGATGTGCAGGTGAACGAGCCCCTGATGGTATGGCTGATGTGATTAGGCCCTATGATGGTGTCACTTGAATAGATATGTGGACAGAGTTGGCATCGGGCTTTGTTACAAGGATAGGTTCCTGGGTCAGTGTTTTTGTTCAGTGATGTGTGGTTGCTGGTGAGTATTTGCTTTAGGTTGGGGGGTTGTCTGTAAGC